GCGGCGGGGGCGGCGCCTATGACTCCGGCCGCCACAGGCGAGGCGATTGTTGACAAACTCGCCTGCCAGCGCCGCGCGGACAGCCTCGGCCGGAGCTCTGGGACCCGGGCTGCTTCGGCTGCCCCGCCCCTGGGCCCGGCCGGGACACCGCTCGCCGCAGGACTTCTCGCCGCCACAGTCACCTGGAGACAAAGTAGGACCCGCGCTCTCCGGGGACCCTCCGGATCGTGCTCACCGGCACCTTCAGGCCGGTCGGCTTGAGGACCCTAAGGCCCGCACTAGCTCAGCTGCAGCATCCCCTCCCCCGACTCCAGCAACTCCGTCTCCCCGCGCGCCGCGGACACGAAGCCAGTCGGAGCGTCCACCCCTGACCAGGGGCGTGCACTCACACCCCATCCCCGGCGTTAGGCGGGCTCTCCACCAGCTCCCACTCCCACCGTGGGTAAACACCCCCGGGGTGTAGGGGCCGCCCGCCAACACCGCGTGGGCGCCCCGGGCCACCGGGCACACGCGAGCCGCTAGGACAGTCTGGTCCCGGGGCCCGAACAAGTTCCGCTGGCTGGGGAAACGCCTTTGGCCTCTCGCTATCCGTGGATCCAGGGGCTGACACACTGTGAAGGATGCATGCAGATCTAGCAGGGCCCCCAACCACTTCCAAGAGGGAGTCCTCAGCAGCTGCCCCAAACCTCGGCTTGAACGAGTTAAAAAGCAAAGCCCAGGTTGGTCAAAAATCACCACCGCAGTTCCGCAAACCCTCGCACCTAAGAGCCAAAACTCGAGACCCACAGTACAGTACGGACGCTTCGCGGGGGCCGCCGGCGAGGCTTCCCGGCTGGGCGCGCAGCGCGGTACCGCAGAGCGGGTCTCCAGCTTCCTGGCCGGTGCCAAAACAAGCGATCTCCCGCTTGCGCCGCTCCGCTGCCCCGCGCGCATCCCGGCCGGAGCCACAGTTGGGCCAAATGGCCGCAGCTTCGGTGCCGACGACCCTTCCCCAGATGGGACCTGCCGGGGGGGCGCTCCGGCCCGCACCGCTCGCAATCTCCCGCCCGGCGGTGAACGGTGCGGATTCGCGCGTCCGGCCTGCACGTGCGCGGAAAGCCGGCACTAGATGGAGCCGCTCGGGCTTCGGCGCCCGTCTTCCATCCGTACCCAGCCCGTTCCTCGGGATGCGGAGGTATTTACCTTGCGCTTCTCAGTTCGAGAATCAGAGTCAGACATTGGGGGTACCAGGGCCAGGGAAGGGCGCCGAGGCGGTGGCGGCGGGAGCGGGGCAACTGGAGCTGCCGAAGACGGTGCTGACTGCAGTGGGGCAAGGCTCGCAGGGGAACTGTAAGAATACGCTGGCGGCGGTGGTGTGGCGGCGGTGACGGCGCGGGACGCTGCGCTCCAGCAAGCTCAGCACCCAGAGGCTGCGCGGAGCGAAGTGAAACCTGTGCGGCCCGGCAGCCCAGCTCCGACTGGCGGCTCCGCGCCCGCGTCCAATCACCGCGGGCCCCGCCCCCGCCAAGTCCCGCCTCCGCGCGAGGGAGGGCAAGTCCCGCCCCCGCGCCGCGAGGGCTGCCGGCGCGTGCAGGCTGGGACAGGTAAAGGCGGGGCTGGCCCCTCCGGGTTCCCTGCCGCGAGCGCCGCCGACCCGGGCGTGTTTACCCCAGTGACTAGCGGCAGACGGCGGCGGGCGCGCCCATCCCCCACGGGAGCGTCGGCTTGTCTCTCTCCTCCGGGGCGGCAGCGTCCTGCGCGCGGAACAGAGGGGGCGCTCGGGCACGCTCTGCGCCCAGCCTGGCCCCCGCCCCAGCGAGAGAACTCCGAGGCGCCCGAGCGTCCCGGCTGGGCCGAGTTTCTCGGCCGCTCGTGGGCAGGCGAAGGGACCGGGGTGGTTCTTGGATACTCCCGGGTGCGAAGGTGGGGCGCTGAGTGTGAGTTCTCCCACCCGCAGGACCCAAATCAGCAAGATCCTCGCCTTTCTCGCGCTCCGCACTTCCGCGCCCTCCTGTCACCCCGCAGGCGCTCGCCAGCTCTTTTCCGTGAGACCGAGCCTGGGGTGGGAAGGAGAGCGCAGGGCCGGCCAGGAGCCACCCCAGGACGCGTCCTTCCGCAGCCCCAGCCTGGGGCGGGATGCGCGTGTGTGCAGATACGATAGGGAAGTTTAAAAAACTAAAGTAACTTTAAGGAAAAAAGGCGCCGAGGAGAGCCTCGGCCTCCAGGTGAGAGAAGGTTGTGCGTGGTCACGGTTGGGACCCTCGAGATGTGTTGGGCTCCCCGTGAGCCCGCGGGAACCGCTTCGGCGGGCCCAGGCTGGCGCGGGAGGGGCTGCTGAGGTCCCGGCCCGACGTGGGTCGCAGATCCGCCCCCCCCCCCACGTCCCTTCGCGTCCCCATTCCCGTTCCTCTGCAAATCCGCAGCTCCACCGCGAAACTCTCCCCGGGAGACCCGGCTCAGCGCACTTCCGTGTGTCTGCACCCGCGTCCGCCGTCCCAGCCTGCGGCCACCCCCGCGCCTGCCGCCTGCTCCCCGCGCGGCTCTGTCCCCAGCCCCGGGGTTTGAGGCAGCGGCTTGGGGAGTGGAACTTTGGATGAAAATGGAGCACCCTAGTGCACCCTGCCAGGTGGGGATTAGGGGAACTCGGTCCGAGGCGGGCGGGAGGGAAGGGGCCTCGGCGTGGAGGAGCTGGTGGAGGCCTTGTCCCGCCCTTGGGCCGCCTTGGTCATTTTTTGAACTCACAAGCAGATCTGACCAGCGTGACACAGCACAGCCCCAGCTTCAAGGCTCCTTGCCCCGAGTCTAGAACGAGGTGGAGGCCTGGGTTCCCCAGAGGGGCTGAACACCCGCCGGAGCCCCGCTGGGGATTTCGGTACAAGGGGGACAGACAGGCGCGGGGACGCGGCGACGCCGACTCGCAGGCCGCGCTGTCCTGCCCAGGGCCGCAGTGGCTCGCGCTCCGCGTCCCGCGGAGGAAAGCAACGCAACGAGGAGCCTGGGCGTAGAGCCTCAAACCGACCTGTCGCCGGGCCTGGCGCTCTTGGCGGTGTCGGCGACGCAGACCCTGACCGGAAAAGAACCACGCAGAAGAAAGCCGCTCGTCGTCTCTTCCTGCATGTATCTGCCACCCCTCGTCGCCCGCCCCTGAGAATCCAAGAATCCTTAAAAAGAAAACAAAACAAAGGCGTCGGGGAAAGCAACCTGCTTAGTGCTGTCTGGAGCTGAGCAAGGAAGCTGGCCCGGAGGCAGCGATTTTGCGTTCCCGGCGGCCCGGCGTGTTAGGCACCGTCGAGCGGCCAGGCGACCGCGAGCCCTTGCGGCCCGGGACTGCGCTAGAGAGCGCCAAGAGGTCGTGGGGACACCAGGCAGTCTTGGGTCGCCGTCCCCGGACATCGCTCTAGCCGACGCCGGCCGGGCCGTATCCCCTACCGCTGACGGGAGACGTGTTGGTAGGGAAGAGAGAGGAATGAAGTCAGGCCACGGCGATTTGCAAAGTGGGAAATCTACACGGGCCACAGGAGCTGTCTGTGCGATCTCTCCAAGTTCGGAAACCACGGTTATTGCAGAATATTTCCAGGGCCCACCTCCCCAACCTTTCTAAGAAGAGGAGCACTTTCCCATCTCTTAATTCCTTTATCAAATTTAATATCTGGGCTCTTCTAAAGGACAGATTAGTTTCACGTGGTAAAAATGTTTTCAGCGCGTTCTTGCGCTCCGGAAGCCGCCTACCCGGGAGGACCAGCCTGAGCCCGCGCTTCGCTCAGAGCGCGTCTAGGCTCCCGCTGCCCTCTCCTGCGGCTGCGTTCCCTAGCAGAGCCCAAGAGGGTCTGATTCACTGGGAAAACTGCACTGCCTGAATCGCACTGCCTGAAAACTGCATTGCCTAAATTGAACCTTTGCCCGCCCGTGCTCAGAGCGGTTTTTTTCCCCCTCTCATTACTTATTTATTTTTTGCCTGAGGGTGTTTGATTTTTATGTTTTGATTTTTTTTCCACCCAGAACCAGAGGTTTTCGAAATCACTGAGAATCTGAGTCACTGATGACAGTAAGAGATCTTTGGCGACACCCGGCTGTGGGGCGCTCTTGCAAGGCGGTGGTGGTGAGGGGGCGGCGGGGAGCCCACCCTGATTGTCTAGGGGTTCAGGCGCCCAAGCTGGGCGAGGTCGAGTCTGGGGCAGGCAGGGCTTTTGAGGAGGATAAAGCAACGCACTGCCTGGGCAGCTGTCTGTGCTCTCTTTCCCAACCGCGCACCCCACGCCTCACCAGCCTGTCCCGGGCCGCTGCTCGATGACCAGAATCCCAGTAGGCTGCGACCCCGCACGTGCTGTCCTGGCCTCCACCCCAGCTCCGGGCGCCTGTGGAGCGGCTGCGGACTGGCCACTACACTTCCCTCCGCGCCCGTCACAGCTGAGCTTGCAGTTTGGGCTGCGGAGAGAGCGCCACTTCCCCCTGCCAGCTTCTGCCTCTGAGCAGTGTAGACAGCCGAGATGGCCCTCGCGTTGGGGATTCCGGTACCCGATGCGTGGAGGTTGGCTTGTGCAATGTTAAACCACACACACCATGGTTTGCAGTCGCACAAATCCAGCAACTGCAAAACATGACACACACGGCCAGGTCAGATGTTGGCGCACCAGTGCGATCTAGTCGGGGAGGCACTCCTCCCACCCGCAAGCGCCGCGCACTCAGCGGCCGCAGCAACTAGTTTTCTTTCGGCCTCCCAGACACTGAGCACGCTAGAACCGATCGCTCAGAAACAACCCTAGCAAGCCTTTTTCATCTTTGGAATTCTTAACTCCGACCCCCTAGAGAACCTTAGGCTGTCACTGTCAGTAGTTAGAAAAGTGGGCTCTGCCCCAAATTCGCCCGAGGAGCTGGAGACCACGGTCTGAGAATCACCTTCTCCTCACTCCTGTCTTCTCTCCTCGCCCCTCCGCTCCACCTCCGGAGTGCCTGGGGTGCCACCCTCTGGCGCGCAGAGGCAACTGACCAGGAAGAGTCTCAGAACAGGTGAATGTAGAGACCTACCCTACTCTCTCCTTTAGACCCGCGGCTGGCGGCAGGCTACGCTTCCTGAAACGGGCAGAGTAGGATGAGGGCGAGGTAGGCTAGGTGTTGCACCGTTTGCACCATCCACCTGTGCAAAACCCACCTGCAGTTAATGTGAACCTCAAGGAACATCCCACACACTCTTCTCGATTGTCCTGACAGCCACTGGCAGGTATAGACTAGACTCTAGACTCACTGGGCAGAAGGGAGGAGGAGAAGCAGGCCAGTGATTTGGAGAAGCTGCACTGGGCGTGTTTTTATTTCATTTTCCATAGTTTAGATGCCAGCGCTTTTTTTTTTTTATCAGAAAAAAGAGAAAGCTACGGAAATAATAGTGTTTGTAGAACAGAACAAGGGCAAGACTGCTTTTCTTTCATCTTAACCAGCTACACGGAGTACTCTATTTGTCAAGTTTTCAGCCAGTTGTAAATTTCTTTCACTCCCCAAATCACAATACACCCCCCAGGTTTATTTTTATGGTTTTAAAAACATCATTTACATCACCCCACCTTTACCCTCCTTTGAGGTCGTCCCTGAGCTGCTCTGTTGTTGCTAAGACCACAGTTTCCATCTGCAGCAGTTCCAAATGCCACGTGAAGTGTTCAGAAAAATAGGGGTGCAGGGGAGGGAGGCAGGGTAGCTGAGGTGAGCGTGAAATGTAATAGTTCAGTGATTCATCTTCCCTGAAAATGTGCTCTATGACATCAGTGATTTCTAATGAAGAACTTCATTCTTAACACACTGTGGTTAAGAATCATCAAATCAGTACTGAAAAGACTTTGATCGTTTTTGCAAGATGCGCTAAGATGAACTTTCACTGACCAAGATTTCAAAGTTTGTAATTAATACTCTTGACAAATTCCCTGACTAATCTGTCAACTCTCAATATCTTGAACCACACAGTTCAAAACCCTGAGACGGTCTACACAGCCCTTGAACTTTCCACACGTTGTCAGGCAGTTGTTCAAGATGATTTTCCCTTTGGGTCTGTATTATGCAACTCATATTCACCGGTGGGGGAAAGTCACTTTGAATGAAGTTTGTGAGAGTATGCATTTGCTTTGTCTCGTGCTGAATACCCAAGGAAGGGCCAGAAGTAGAAATTACAAGAAGCAGATTCTCTTCAGTATAAGGAAAATTTAAAATAAAAAAAGAAATCCAGTGGTTGGTGAACAAATTTTCCTCAGTTCTAAGTGTCATTATGGTTATTGTCTAAAATGGCCTCCAGCTTTTGTCTCATGTGTTAAGGGCTCAGCTGCTTCTGAGCTTTAGGGAAGAAATTGGATCATGGGTTTTAACTTCACTAGTGGCTTAATCCGCTGATAAGATTATAATTTGGTAGCATTATTGGGAGGTGATGGACATAAGAAGTGGGGTTTCCTTGAAGGGAGTGAATCATAGGAGCATGACCTTGGAGACTGTCTTAGTTACTTTTCTGTCTTTGCTAAGACAAAATTCCCAACACCCAAAGTTAAAGGAAGAAAGGTTTATTTAGCCCACAGTTCCCAGAGGTTTCAGTCCATAATCAGCTGGGTCTAAGGCAAGGTGACATCGCAGCGGAGATACAGTTCATGGCAGGCAGAAGGCAGCCAAGCAACAAGGGCCGACCACAGCTCTTTCTATCCCTTATATTTTATCTGGGCTACCCAGGGCAGGTGGCACTCACCCCTTAATCCCAGTGCCCTTGAGCCTAGCATTGCACCATGAATCAACTCCAGCATCACACACTCTAGATCCTGCCACCTCTGAAATGGCCTCTCCTATAGCTGCATGAGGCTCTCGGGGACATCTAGATACAGCCATAACAGGGATTATACATGATCCCTGACCCTTTTCTTATTGTGTCTTGTTTGTTTTTGTTCTTTTTGTACTGGGAATTGAACTCAGGACCTTGCACTTGCCAGGCAGGTACTTGTACTGCTGAGCTATATCCCAGCTCTCATTGTCTCTCACTTCTTCCTGGCAACCATGAGGTGAGCAGCTTTTCTCTTGAAGCTCATTCCCTTGCATCATGATGCTTCAGCCTTGCAATAAGCCTAAAAGCAAGGGAGCCAGCTGACCATGCAACAAAACCTATGAAACCGCGAGCCACAATAAACCTTTCCACCTTCAAGTTGTTTATCTCAGGTGTTTTGTCACAGTGTATATTAGTTGCTTTCTGCATCACTGAGACATACCTGACACTGCAATTGGACAGGACAGGAGAGGTTTAATTTCTCTCACAGTGTTTAGAAACTTCAGTCCTTGTGTGGTAGGTAGCATGGTGGAAGGGTGTGGGGCAGAGGAAAGCAGAGGAAGAAGAGAGGAGCTGGGGAAGGACACACACTCTTCCAGGTCAGCCCCCTTCACCTGCCCCTTGTGACCAGCCCTTCTAATGTCACATTTAGCTGTAGCGCCCCATGATTCAATCACTGTTGTTGTAGTCAGGGTTTATAAGGAATTAATACAGGACACATAAATTATAGAATTATTTTATAAGAATTATCCAAAGAGTTAACTGCAAAAAGAGTGCAGGAAATCTGTCCACACAGTAGACACCAAAGAATCCAGCTGAGGGCCTGGATCCCAAGGCAATGTCCTGCACGAGCCCACAGTAATGCCCCCCACAAGTCCAACTGGAGGCCTGGAGCCCATGACAATGTCTCCTGCAAGTCTGTACCAAGGATCTGCACTGGGAAGGCCCAAAGGTCAGTGGTGGAAGCGAGAAATTCTGCGCCAGCGGGATGAAGGATCTCTGCCAGGCTGAGGGATCTGCACAGGAGCCAGAAAGCGATACTCAGTAAGGGCCAGAGCTCCCCCAAAGTGAATCGCAACCATCCTCAGCAACAATGAGGTCCTGAGCTCCTCCAGTGATGAGAACAGCTGAATTCATATGAATAAAGCCAGCATGACAAGCTCCTCCAGGAGAACCAACAGCACACCACCTTCCCCTCCAGTTCTTTTTATGTTGGCCACAGCCCTCAGGTGTGCCTTCCACACCCAGCACCATGCTGAGTCAGCAGCTGGGTGTTGCAAGTTGAGCACCAGTTGTCGATCCACCACACCCTTTAAAAGGCTGGCCTTTGAACTCATGAGGCTTTGGGGGGACATCCAGATATAAACCATAAAATGGTGACAAAAAGCAGACGAACCAAGTGTTCTCAGATGACCCCACCAATGACACTCTAAAGAAGAACAATAAATTGGCTGGGGAGACTAAATGTTGACTGCCAAGATTGTGTCTAAACCTGAAATTCTAGGGCGGCCTAAAATACCCTTCTTTCTCACTTTCTGCATTCTCCATGGACTGCAACAGGACCCCAGAAATGATTCATGTTTAGATGGAACGATCAGGTATCATTCTTGTTAGAATGGTGGTTTGACTCATTCTAGGAATGCACCCACCTCTGCCCACCAGGAGGATAGTAGTAATTGCCATCTGTCACAGAGTATGTACTGGAATCCTGCCGTGGGTCAGGTGTCATGCTGAGTGTACAAGGGAGGTGTAGGGGTACACTCTGCAGGGACAGGTTTCTTACATCATGAAGCTGTTGTGCAGTTTTAAAAACATAAAAATATGATCTTTTTAACACAAAGCATACTTGAGTAGCTAATAAAGCATTGATAATTGCAGTTGTGGTTTTAAAACTTACAACAGAATATTTTTATTTACAGTTACATATTAAATACAATGATATTAAAGTGTAATATATTCCAAACATATCCTTCCATATTAAACCTAAAAATGGTACATACCTTTGGGGTCTCCCTGCTCTGCTAATTGCTGACCCTTTTATACTAGATAGAGTACTCGAAGTTCTGCAAAGGAAATCCATGAACTTTTGAAAAAAGCACAGATGAAGAAGTACCCTTTAAAAATAAAAGAGCATGAACAAGTTGTCGGTTCTTGGAGAAAAGTTTTAAAAGGGCAGACCTAGACATTGCTCTACAAGCAATAAAAACATGAGATCCACTGGGAGAGATGATAGCCAGTGAGTGGGACTGAGATGATCTACGTTAAAGAAGGCAGAAACACTCAGAAGACCTCAAGGGACCTCAAGGCACATGGCACAGGGATAGGCGAGTTTGGAGTGGGGGATTTATAACGTCAGTTTGCTTTCCCACCTCTGCTTGTTGCCGTATTTTAATTCTTTTCTCCTCTTTTTTGCGGTCCCAGAATTTTCTTTAGGATGGCTATTTTCTATAGGATGCCTTGGGATGGGAAGTAACTAAGCTCTATAGCTTCCTGAACCCTATTCTTCCCACGTGACAGCCCTCATCATACCTTAGATGGTCACGGCATGATGGCCTGCCGTGTGCACCTGCAGCGACAACCCGGCTATCCCTTGGGCTCTGCAGAAGGTGCTCCTGGTTCTTTCCATGTGCCCTGCCTCCAAGTCCAGCACCAGAAGCCCTCACGATGTTTTCTGTTTGGGTTGTTTCTTATTTCAACTCAAATGCCTCGAGATATTAACGTCTAATCAGGATTAGCTCCTTTCTTGCTTGGGTGCCGTGGTAGAGTCTTTTCCTCTACCCCTTGAATCCAGGAGGGGTTGTGACTTGCTTTGCCAACAGAATTCGAAGAAAATAAGTTAGGCCTTAAGCGTTAGGCCTTAAGAAGTTTTGCAACTCCTGTTCTTGCTTTCCTGTAGGCCGCAGAGCCCTTGCTGTGCAGAAGCCCAGTGTGGCCCCCTGAAGGACAAAAAGTCAAGGGGACAAGGGACAAGATGCCTTGGCCAACAGCCAGTACTCATGACCAGATATGAGTGAGCCGCCTCTTGCACATCCCGGGCCTGTGGAGCCCGAGTGTTCTTGAGTGCTCTTAGGTTACACTAGCCAAGAAGTACCCAGCCTTCCAACCCACGGAACTGGCATCAAGCACTGTTGCTGGTTACACACAGAAATGGAAACTTTAACCTTGGTAGTCAAAGCAACAAATAGCCAGGCACGGCGGTGCATGCCTATAATCCCAGCACTCAGGAGGCTGAGGCAGGCTTGTCATGAGTTCAAGGCCAGCCTGAACTACATAGGGAGATCCTATCTCAAAAAACCCAAACCAAAAAACCTAAACCTGGTATAAGGTTCATTTACACCCATTTTGAAAATGAATGTATGCAGCCGATTCATACTTTCTAAGGGATTGTTAGATACTGGTGGGCTTTTAATGTCATTTCCAGTCCATTCTTTTTTGTTACCTTCATTTTATTTTTATTAATTTATTTTTTTGAGACAGGGTCTCGCTGTGTAGTACAGACTGGCCTTGAACTCACTATGTAGCCTACACTGGCCTCAAACTCACAATAAACCTCCTGCCTCAGCCTCCCCAGTGCTGGGATTATAGGTATGTGCTACCACACCTGGCTCCACTGACTTTATTTTAGACTAACTAGATACTGAGCCAGAAAGTTAAAAGGGGGAATCTTAACACAATCAATAAACACATTTGAATGTAAAAGATGTGAGAGGGGATAAAGAGGTTTCTGTATTGCTTGTGGCTTATCATTTACCTCCTTTGGCCCTGCTGTGACTCATAGCTGGCATTCTGGAAGGTACCTCTGGCCATCTTTGTCCACCTTTCTTTCTCCATGTTATTCTATGCTGTGGTGTCCGACCTCAGTCCCCATTCAACATTTCAGAGATTTTTACTCCAGCCGTGACCAAGGATATTCCTCTGCTATGCAGGGTGTGTCTCCACAGCCTGGCTCCGTCTGTCTAGTGTCTTTCTAACAATGCCGAGAAGTAACATTTGGTATTTTCTGTACCTACAGAAGCCAGGTTTTCTGAGCTCTGCTCCAGGCTGACTCAAGCTGGCATTTGCTGCACACATCCCCTGTACTGGATTGCACAGAGGTGTCTGTGTTCACACTGTCATTCAGTATGCATCACATCTCTGTCAGGCATCACTCCATTTTACAGATGAGGAAACCAAGGCTTAAAAAATTTAACACGTTGTCCCAAGTTGCGTATCTCATAACTAGCACAATTGGGGTTTTTCTCCAAGTCAGTCTCCTGCAGTCCTGTCTACCCTTCTGCCTCCATCTTCCCACAATGCATTATTTCCAGTCACTGGAGGATATGTGGTGTCGAACTGAGGAAACACCTCCAGCACTGTAGCAAACGTGTGACTCAGGATGCTCCCCATACGTCAGAATGAACACTCTGTGTACCTGATACAGATGTGCTCAATCACACTGGTTGATTTCCTCAGGCGACTGGCAGTGGCCAGTCACGATGCTGTCACTAGAGGAAGATGCCAAGGACTTGGCTTTAGAGCCAGCTTCTGAGATGCAAAGAAACCACTTCAGAGATTTGAAAGCTCTTCCTGCAGATGGCCAAGGCTTCAACTCTCCAGAAAATATTCTCAGCTCAATGAGGCTTAGATACAAGTGTGCATATGGCACACTGGGTTCTCTTCCTATAGAGGGAGAGAGACTCTTGCACATTCTTCTTCAGGAGGTTGGGAGAACTCTTCTACACTGGTGAACGGGCCCTCCCTACCCTTCCATTCCACCACCTTAAGCCACCAAATACAATTCAAATCTCTTCCAAAGAGCAACATGCAGACTACCAAATCATTACTGGTGAAAATTTCCACAATCACGTTGTTAACCTACAGCTACTCCCACTTCTTGCAAGGACATCTAGACAGAACACATAGAGGCCTTGGTTTGATTATCTCCCACCCATTCCCCTATCCTGAAGAACTGTTTACTCTTCACAAAGACAAACAGTCTGTTATCGTTTAGATCTACATGTCCTCCAAAAGACCCACATGTTCAGAACCAATGAGCTTTGGGGAAGTAATTGAATCATGAGGACTCTACCTTCATCCAGTGGATTAATCCACTGATGAGTTCATTAACTGAATGGGTTTATTAGGAGAAAGGCCTAATTTGATGAGACTGGTTACTATGGGTGTCACTTCTGGGACTATGTCTGGTTCCCTAGCCCTTCCTCTCTGGCTCTCTTGCTCTCTTTCTCTGCTTCCTGCCTGTCATATGGTGAGCAGCTTTGCTCCAGCATTTCTTTCCACCATGCTATTTTGCCTCACTTCAGGCCCACAGCAATGGAAATAGCCAACCATATTTTGGAAACCATGTTTGGAGGCCATGTTTGGAAGCCAACTTGGAAGGTGGCTATGAGCCAAAATAAATAATTCCTCTCCTTAATTGTTTTTCTCAGGTATTTGGACATAGCAATGCAAAGCTGATACATATTCCTTAAAAGGTTATAGTGGTTGGTCTTTGAAGGCTAACTTCCATCTTAACTCCTATTGTTTGACTAGAGTTTGATATAAAGAACAGCATACCTAAAACACTCACACGCGACATCATCTCACACCATGTAGTGTGACTCTATCTCTCAAATTTACCCTGCACACCCAGAAAGGAGAGCTCCGCTTCTATTTTCACTGAGAAGCACCTCAAGGTGGAGTAGTCCTCAGCTTGCTGGGCCTCCTACTCCCAAGAACCTATACATTCTTGTGGCTTCCTCTATAACCAAGTCTCATTAGCATGAAACAAAACTCTGGGGCTCTGATCAATAATCAGGACTCCAGCCCAATATTTTCCCTACAGCAATTTAAATTGTGTTTTATGTCAATTAATTCTTTGGCTGAGAAAAATATTTAACATACCTGAATGTTAGAATGGAGGAAATTACCAACCTAACTAAACAGCATCACTTTCATTTAAGTTTACCTGTTTTATTTGAAAAGAAACAAACTTAGCTTCAAAATGTTCTTTGTGTTGCAATGTAGGTAGGTACTTATG